AGAACTACCATATGACCCAGTAACTCTACTCCTAGGTATATATCCAAAAGACTTGAAAGCAGAGACTCAAATAGAGACTTATAAACCAATGTTCATTTCAGTGCTATTCACAATAGCCAAAAGGTGGAAACAACCTAAATGCCCATCAACAGACCAATGGATAAATAAAATGATGCATACACATATAATGGAATACTACATAGCCAGTAGGAGAAATGAAGTCTTGATACCTGCTACAACATGGATGGGTCTGAAAGACATTATGCTGAGTGAAATAAGTCAGTCACAAAAGGACAAATATTGTATGACTTCACTTATATAAAAAGACAAGAAAAGGCAAATGTATAGAGAACAAAGTTTATTAGTGGTTACCAGCGGTAGGAGGGAGGGGGAAAGGAGGAGTTAATGGTGATGGAAATATCTCGTTGATTAAAGGCAGGGTTGCACAGCTGATTATTATGATTGTAAGTTGTACACCTGTAAAAAGTTGAATTGCCAAAAGTTGTATGAAGGATATATTTACAACAACAACAACAAAAGAGTAGCTGCTGAGGATGCTTATGCACAACCAAATACCTCATAAAGATTTGGTTTCTTAGTTTGGAGGTTTAGGGTCATGGTTTCATGGGATATCCCAGTTAGTTGGTTTAATAATACGTTTAGTGCTTCTGTTCTACCTCCTAGTTTGTTGCGTAGTGCCTGGGGTCTTAAAAGCTTGCAAGCGGCCATCCAAGGCACAACAATTGGTATCTACTTGCCTGGAACAACAGAGGAAGAAGAAGAGTCAGGAATAGAAGGAGGATATGCAAAGTGTGGCTAACTGCCTCCATGAACAACTGCCTCCTTTGCCATGAGGCCATAAGAACTGGATGGTGCCCCAGCTACCATTACTGAACATTTTGATCAAAGATTTTATAGAAGAATCCTGATCAAAAGGGGGAAAAAATGTAGACCATAATTTCAAATTCTCATGCACTCCAGACTTCCTGGAGCCATGAAGGTTGGATGAACCTCTGAAACTACTGCCCTGAGATAATCTTTAAAATTTAAACCAAAAATATCCCCTGAAGTCTTCTTAAAACC